AGTCAGCCCAGATGCCAAGGGTTGGGAAGGACAGGGTGAAAACAGACAAATCAGAGAGGACTTTGTGGATGTGGTTTTTTGAGCTAAGTCTTGGAGAAAGGAACCCAAACTCCATCATAACGTATGGGAAAATACTTGGTGCACATATAAGGCAAACATGGATTTTCTTTTTTGGAGATGAGTAATTGTCAAAACAGTGACAAAACAGGCCTGAACATGCTTTAGGGCCCCATTAAGAAGTGGAGGCATAATGTGTTAAGTGGGACTTTAGAAAAACAGGTTGTAGTGAGAAGAGCCTGGTGAGAAAATGTGGGTGCTAATCCTGGCCTCCCCCATTATGACTTGAAAAACTTGGACAAGGCACTGAACCCTTGGGGCTTCCCTTATCTGTGAAAGCCTTATCTATATCATTGCTGTAAACAGCGTAAGCTTCAAGAGACCCTAATCATTTCTAATATATGTTAGAAGGCTTTGTAAACAATGTAAGGTATTTGTGAGGTTTGGATTTGTTGTTAGTGATCTTTTAAATCAAACTCACCTTTATAACATCTATACATCATGAATTCTTATATGGTATTATTGGACTGAGGTCAAGAAGGATCTTCTGAGTGACTCACTGAAGCAGGGGTAGAGTGAGTTTGAGAGGGGAAACAAGGAGCCCAAGATGAGTCTAAAGGGAGAATGTGTGGGTGTCAGCAGCAGAAGGAAGCCTCAGAAACAAAGGGGCCCTTTTGTTTGAGAGGGACCTTGAGATGCCATCACAGTTATGGATGTCAGTGGCAGTGGGGACAAGGACAGTATTGTGGGAAGGCATGTGGCGTGAGGGAAAACAGTCTGAAGAGCAAGTAAACAGAGAGTGGGGGACAGCCAATAAATGGCGTTAGCCTGAGGAGAAAGTTGCCTCATAAAGAAGGGTTCTTGTTGGAGAACAGAATAGCTCATCTGAGATTTTTTGATGGGTCATGTCTTGAGCTGGGACCAACACCATGAAAATAGAATTAGGAGTTATCCTGGCAGTACTAAGATTCTCTAGTCACATTGGGAACTTGGGTGTCCCTGTGATGGTGGGACACACTGGGACTTAATTTTCTTCCCCTATTATTTTCTCCAAAAAAGAGCCTCAGAAATATTCAAGTAGGCCTGCCTGGGCCCTGGGATAACAAATCCGTTTCTAGTCATATGCAAATTCAGACTCATCAGTAGGAGCAGTGGCCTGTAGCATTGTGACAGGGCAGACTCAGCTTGGTGGGCAGGGGCACTCTTAATGTTCAGTGTTGTTTTTTTTTTTTTTTTTAAAGATTTATTTATGCATATAAGAACTGGGGTATAGGCCATAGGTACAGGGGGTGAGAGGATTCACCAGAGACAGAGCGGGTTGCAGAACAGGTGCATCTACTGAAATAATACTGCTGAGGGGAGCAGTGGGCGAGACAGGAGAGGTCTTCTGTGCAATGTGGGTAGCTCCCTGGTCAGGGATTGAACTTGTGCTGCAGTGGCTGCAGATAGCTTCATAGTGCTGAGACTTAACTTCTTATGCCACCAGGGAGGCCCCTTCAGTGGTGTGGTAGGTGGCAATGGTGCTATTATTTTGCTGACCTTGCGAAGACTCCAGAGCCCTGGTGAGGAGCCTCCTCTCCTGGTATGGCTTTCTTCTGCTTTGTCCTCTGATCACTTATTCCCTTGTACATTCTGCTGCTATCTAATTCCATTGCATCCTCTCCTATCACTTCCAGCTCACTTTCCATGGAGCAATTATTGAGAAGTTGAAGTTTCTGAATGTTAACACACTCAATGGAACTATTGTTTCACCTGGGGGTTACATGGACCTTACAGGTGAGAGCACCTCTTGGATTTTAAGAACTTGTCTAAGAAGGATCTGCTATCTTGGCACAGTGTAAATATGACCTTCCTGGGTCAGGTTCAGAATTATTCTGGGTCCCTAGGTATAATTGTTAACTTTACAGCAGGAACTTGTTTCTTTCTTTTGCTTGCCTCTTCATAGATGGGGATGTGAGGGTAAGACTGAAGTCTTAATTGGGCTCTGACTCAGCTTTAGCCAATTGCTTTAGTGTACAGAAGTGTGATGTGGGTATTTCAGGTCTGCTGGTTTCTATTGCACACAGGCCTGGCAGGGTCAGTGTCTTTCAGGGACATGTAATGCAGTCCCAGCTTTCAAAGGAAATGTCTATGTGGGGGGGAAAGATATGTCCTTAGGAAATGGTTAAGTCACATAAAGCAGAGTTGTGTTTGTGTTATGCTGAGTGAGACTTCAGATGTATAGACTGTTCTATGAGGTGGTATCCTTGGCAGAAGGAAAGGAAGGCAGAATTAAGGAGGGAGGTGGCACTGCTATAAGAAATGGATGTGGGGAGGTGGAAAAAGGAGAGTAGTTTGCAGCAAGAGTGTCCTCATGTTAGTTCATATCCTGGCCCAGGGTTATACACCTGTGGGAGAAGAGGTTTTCAAAGACTTGAAGGTTTTGATCATTCCTAACAGTAACTTACACTTAACAGCATTATTGAAGTCTGGAAGATATTGAGAGTTTTCCTAAGTTTGGTAATAACTTGGAATGTGGTCCATAGATAATGAAAATATAATTATGATCAGCACTAGGTCCAAATCAGAGTTATAAGCTGATGATGAGTTATAAGAGATGATGTGGTTTTAAAGTATTAGAAAGGGGCATGGCCAGTGCTGAGGGCCTCCTTCCCACATCTTCCCACAATCTATGTGGGCGAAGCTAGACATTTAGGTGTCAGGTATATTAGGTAAAAGTCAGTAGAGCCAAGTGTTTCCCACCTTTGGTTCTAAGGCAACATAATTATGTAGTCTGGGCATCTTTCTTTGGGGTGACTGAAGCTATAAATGGTTGGGATGGTGGATTATGGCTTGGACAAAGGTTGGACCTGAATGAAGGAGATTGAAATAGCAGTAGTGGAAAATGGCAGACAAATTAACTAGAGACCTATGGGAAGTAGAGACTTTTATCTTGTTTGCACAAGTGTATTCTTCAGAATATGTTTTCCCAGCAGCTTGGGGACAGAAAGTGGACATGTCCACTGATCTAGAATTAACAAATTTCCCATGCAGTTGCAGACAGTAAGACAAAGAAATTATGGATATTGGAGTGATAGTGGATAAAGTGATAGATCCTGGAGTCTGGGGCCTAATCTCATTGAGGAACTCTGGAGAAAGTTTTCTTTCCTGTTAGGTTGCGTACTGGATATATATACAACATCCCTTTCTGAGGGTAATCCTGGGGACTTCTTGTGCCACAGGATCATGGTGAGGCAAATACAGAAGCCTGCCCCCATAATTGAAGCAGACAAATTACCCAGACTTGGCTAATCATATTGTCACTTTCTCTCTGAACAGGGATTGGTCTAAGGGTGAGCACCAGAGTGAAATAGGGCCAATTATAGTCCTTCCATATAACTGATAGTCGGGAAGTGTGATATAGTTTGAGGCAACTTAGATAAGATGGAAGGTTTCTCCAAGGTAGTTACCTTTGAACTGAAACTTGAATAAGAAGAAGCTTGTCCAAAGGAAGGGCAAACAAAGTTAACAAGTAAATGATCACACATTCTGAGCCACTATTGTTCAAGAGATTAGTAAGGTTAGTGTCCAGCCTCCCTGGTGGCATGAGGGGTTAAGACACCGCCTATGAAGCTATCTGCAGCCACTGTAGCAGGAGTTGATCCCTGCCAGGATGCTACCCACATGGCGCAGCAGACCTCTCCTGTCTCGCCTGCTGTTCCCCTCAGCAGTGTATTTCAGTCAGTCTGCCTGTTCTGTTCCCCACTGTCTCTGGTGAATTCTTTCACCCCCCCAACACCTCTGGCCTGTACCCCAGTTCTTACATGCATAAATAAATCTTTTTTTTTTTTTTTTTTTTAAAGACTAGTGTAAAATGCTGTTTCCAGTGCTTGAAGCACTTTTCCCTCTCACCCTGAATCTGGGTAAATCCCCCTGGACTCCCTGTGTCACACTCCCTGTTACAGGGGCCAATCCAACAGATTGGTCTTTTGCCCTCTAGAGAGAGAATTCAGCAAAGCCCTAGGTGTAGTTGAACCGGCCAAGTTTATAGTAGAGACTCATGCACGAGGGAACCAGTGCCAGAAAGGAGAATTAGCCTGGCTCTGAGGAGTTAGGGGGAGCTATTTAAAGGGTAGGTCTGTTGCTCTACAACAAAATGAGGTAGAGAGCCTCTTTATAGCTTGTTCTGGGTTGGGTATGTGCACAGGTTACACTCCAACTGCGTGTAAAGGCTCCCAATCTTCTCCATCCAGGGAGGAAGATAATCCTAAATCTGGGTCTGCCCCTTTCTATCTACCATGGCCTCTGCCAGTGTGGTAGGCTGTGCCCCTCAATTCATGAGTTTAGTCTGCCTAGTTCAAAAGGACTTGGGGCAACACTTATCCTACCAGTTTCGCAATTCCCTTCATCTACACTGTTTCACCTCCGGTAAGTGCCCCCTGACCTCAGAACAGGTTGCCTTTTGCCTCCAGCGGAGGACAGGCTCCTTCAGGGCTCTAAGGGTCTTTATTTACCAGCCTCACGGAGCTCAGGGAAGGGGGTGTGGAGCTAAAGTTTGCGATTTGGGGCAATTCTGGGGTCGCACAATCTCTTCCCCATCCGAGAGGGACGCCTATTCCAAACTACTCAAACCCAGGTCAAAGCTTGGCGAGTGACACCAGCGCGCAGAGCGGCTGGTCGCAGGGCGGAAGTGCATCCCTGGAGCCTTTCTAGGAAACCTGGCGGACCCAGGTCCTCAGTGATCCTTAGTCAGAAGCAGGCGCCGCTCTGTGCAAAGGGGCACTCCTGAGAGCAGCCTTGACAAGAAGTGGAGAGACGGCCTTTAGTTTAAGGTAAAGCCATGCAGAAAGCTAAGTTGGAAAAGGTGAGCAAGCGTTGGCGTGCTGGCCACCTGTTCCCCCGGCTGAGAGCGCGCGCGCTGATTGGCTGGATGGCGCCGGGGTACCGGAAGTGGCCGGTGCCCGTCGCCCGTGAAACCAAGACAACAGCTGCGGGTTCTGCGCGAGCGGGCGGAGCAGCGCCGGGAGCTCGAGCGGAGTGAGCGTGGGGCGGTGGCGGCCTGCGGTGAGACCTCATTCCGTCACGGCTGGTGGGAGGAGGGCGCTGGGCTCCCCACTCCCCGGCCCGCGAGTGGAGCTGAAGCCCGACGTTTAGGCCCGTTGCTGACCCGGGCTCGCTGTGTGACCTTGGACTTTGTGGTTCCCTCCGGGCCTCCATTTCTCCACCTGCACACAGAGGGTGTGGGCCCGCACGCTGCCAGGGCCCGTCCCGGCTCTAAATCTGTGCCTGTCAGCCGCGGGGGCGGGACAGACGGGGACACCCTCTTCGGCCCCGGTGTGGAAGCCGATGGGGTCAGATTTTCTCAGACGTTTTAGCCTCATGTAAACCGCAAGGACGAAATGTCGGCCAGTGTCAAAAAGTTAAGGCCCTCGTGCTTGTTGGGTAAGGAGGATTAGTTACGGAAAGGAGACAGGTTTGAGCACAGAGTTAATAGAGCCTTCTCGTTTGTGGGAACCGGGGAGCACGAGGGGGCAAGAGGAAAGGAGGATACAGTGCTTTAAATAAAACATCAGATTGGGGGGACTTTGTTACAAATAGTAGTTGACACTGATGATGTGCCAAACACTCTTCTGTAGCTATAAAGTGAATGAAATAGCCACTTAGTCTTCGAGGGTATCACAGATTTGTGATACAGAGAAGACATTTACCCAAATTCATTTATTAATATTTACTTCATACTCAAGATGTGCTAGGCACAGGGAATACCAGGATGAATTAAAATATCATCCTTGTTCAAGGTATAAAGAAGAAAGAAAACATGAAAATAGACTAATAGTTCAATGGGATAAGGACTACAAGATGGAATATCTATTTTAGGGGCAGAGTCAAGGAAGAAAATGACAAGAACTGCCTTTTACTTGATCTGAGTGGTGTAGATATTTGTTAAGTGTGCAAAGTGATCAGTAGTATTTTTTTAAAGATTTATTTGTTTATGCATACAAGAACTGGGGCACAGGCCAGAGGTGTGTGTGGGGGTGGTGAGGGGATTCATCAGAGACAGAGTGGGGAGCAGAACAGGCAGATGTACTGAAATACACTGCTGAGGGGAGCAGTGGGGGAGTCAGGAGAGGTCTGCTGTGCCATGTGGGTAGCTCCCTGGTGGGGGATCAAACATGCTGCAGTGGCTGCGGATAGCTTCATAGGTTGCATCTTAACCCCTTGTGCCACCAGGGAGGCCCTGATCAGTAGTATTTTGAGAAGTGAATATAACCTTTTTAAAAATTAAGAAGTGTTTGAAATGCAGGGCCCTAGCATTATTGCAGCTTCCAACAACCAGTAAAGATTGTGGGACAAGACATGGGAAGAGAGACCAGGAGGGCCATGTTAAGAAGTTTTTATTCTGTAGACTTTAAGAGCAGTAAACAGGAAGTAACATGTAAGTGATAACTGGTACAAAGAAAGGAGTGAAATGCTTCTTCTGAGTATGAAGGGCCTCCTTCCTGCAGATTTTGATGACTTTGGAGAGGAGAGGATCCTTGTGTTAGATCTTGAACTTTTGGTAGGGTCCAGCCTTTTGGAAGTTAAAGGCAAGTATTTGTAACAGTTAAAATGTTCTTTTTTTTTTTTTTTTTTAAAGATTTATTTATTTATTTTCATACAAGCACTGGGTACAGTCAGAAGCGCGGGAGGATGAGAGAATTCACCAGAGCCAGAGTGGGAAGCAGAACAGGCAGAGTGACGAAATACACTGCTCAGGGGAGCAGTGGGTGCGGCAGGAGAGGTCTGCGTGCCATGTGGGACCCTCTCCCAGTGGCCAGGGATTGAACCTGCGCTGCAGGGGCTGCAGGCAGCTTTGCAGCTCAGCGCTCAATCGCTGCGCCACCAGGCGAGGCCCAGTTAAAATGTCTTGTCTGTAGGTAACAGTCCAACTCAAGGTGGCTTAATATGCATATGTATGAACTTTCATATTGGATTTCAAGAGGTATGGTGGTTTCAGGATTGATTTAATCTAGGGGCCCTGGCTCCATCTCCCCTAGATTTTCTTAGCTTCACATGCCTTCATCCACAAGGTGGTAGTGAGATGGAAACGGCAGTTCCTGACACACACACACACTCTTCTGGATTCTTTCAGAATGGCAGGGATCTATTTCTAGAAGGTCCCAGTAAACTTCCTCAAAATATCATTGACCCAGATGAAGGCATTCCTGACCAATCCCTGCTATTTTGAACATTCACTTGCAGGGGGTGCGTGCAGTACTAACTTGACTGGGTCAACTCACTTGGGGCTCACTCCTGGAGGTTTTTTTTTTTTTTTTTTTTTTTAAAGATTTATTTATTTATACAAGCACTGGGTACAGTCAGAAGCGCGGGAGGGTGAGAGAATTCACCAGAGCTAGAGCAGGGAGCAGAGCAGGCAGAAGGACCGAAGTACACTGCTGAGGGGAGCAGCGGGTGGCAGGAGAGGTCTGTGCGCTATGCGGGACCCTCCTCCGGTGGCCGGGGAGCAGCTGGGGATCGAACCGGTGCTTCAGAGGCTGCGGGCAGCTTTGCAACCCAGCGCTCAACCACTGCGCCACCGGGGAGGCCCACTCCTGGAGTTCTTGAGTGAGGTCAGATCTGCTGGTCAAAGAGCAAGACCCCTTTCTCATGGATGCTCATCAATGAACTTGTTTCCTAAGGAAATGCAAAAATTTTTGCTCAGGTATCCCATACAAACATTCGAAAAAATTTGTATCCCCATAATACATTTGTAAATTGATATCTAACATGTTTCATCGTTTTTCATAATATTTAATAGTTGCAAAGAATATTATTGTTGGTGTATTATAAATTTTGACACTGCAAAATAAAACCTCATCCCAATTTTAAGGATACTTGCCCTTGGTTTTGTGTGCTTACTCAACCTTTCTGTGACCTCCATCTGGTAGCATTCCATTCCTCCCACCTTCCCCCGACTTCATGGGCTTCCCTATCTCAGTTATCTTCACTGTGTCCTGGCTAACATCCTCAGGTATTCCCTCATTCTTCCACCACACTGTCTCTACTTCCCCAGTCTGTTCTGGGGCTATCACAAGTGTTGCTGGAGAAAATCAGGTAAACATGCTGATTGGCTCCTTCTCTCTGATGCTTGCCAGCCTCCTCTCTCTCTCTCTCTCTTTCTCTTTCTCTCTCTCTTTCTGTCTTTAAAGATTTTTTTATTTATGCATATAAGAACTGGGGTACAGGCCAGTGGTGCAGGGGGTGAGAGGATTCACCAGAGACAGAGTGGGGAACAGAACAGTCAGATCGACTGAAATACACTGCTGAGGGGAGCAGCGGGAAAGACAGGAGAGGTCTACTCCGCCATGTGGGTCACCTCCCTGGCCAAGGATCGAACTCATGCTGCAGTGGCTGTGGAAAGCCTCATAGGTTGTGTCTTAACCAGTTGCGCCACCAGGGAGGCCCCGCTTGTCTTTTAAGGAGGTTGTGAAGGTCTAACTAGTTAATGTCTATAAAATGCACAGCATAGTAAACAATCATTTTTATTCACATCAAAATGTCAGTATATTCTCACTTATCTTTCCTCCTCATTTATCCCAATTCTGGACATACTCCATTGAGATCAGAATGTTTTCTTTCCTTTATTTCTGCTCATCCTGCCTCTTGGACTGCCCATTCTCTGCCCAAAAGGTGTAGCACCATGGTCTTCAAACTGAAGTGTTTGGAGGGGGTACACAAACACTTTCTATAATTGTTGAGTGGAAAGCAGTTTCTAGATTCTTCAGTTTGTATCCTTGACTATCACTGATCTACTTGAGAATAAGCTTGTAGCCTATAACTTTCTCTTTTTTTTTTTAACCTCCTTTTTCACAATTGCTCTTTTTCTTTTTTTACAAGAGACATACCTCTCACCCCTGCGTACTTTAACTTTACCATGGCACATCACTTGGATAGAAAAACCTGAAGTGCCACACAAAGGGACAGTTTGTTAAGGAGAAGTAAGTGATTCTTGGGCCTTTAAAATTCAAATCTTTGCTTTCACCAGAGTTTTCAAAAGACCTAATCAGACTGTCCATAAATTCATGTCTATATACTTTACTACAAATCATAATTTTTGTCATGTTTAAAGGATTAAGTGATACTGTGACAAGAGATTGCTGTAAACTTTGATGTAGGAAATTTGGACAATTTCAGGTCTAGTCACAATAATTGGAGTCAGCTGATAAATGTAGGAGAAATATGATTTTTAATTCAGAAGAGGGGATCTAATTAACTGTATTATATCCCCTATCTACTCTTAGAAGTTTAGGGTAGGCACTGTCCAGATAGAAGGTAGGAGGAAAGATATCAGAACTGCAGTAACTGGCAGTGTATTTATTTTCCTACTGCTTTACACATGTATTGATCTGCTTGGTAGGCCAGACCTTGGGTAGAGATGGATGCAGCAGGTTGGATGGGTTAACTGCAGTTAAGACTTTAACACAGTGGTTTCCAAACCTGGCTGGGCAACAAAACTACCTGGGACACTTGATAAAAATATGGATGATTCTGATTCTTAGAAGTCAGAAATGGAGGGGCCTCCCCAGTGGCGCAGCGGTTGAGCGCCGGGTTGCAAAGCTGCCTGCAGCCTCTGCAGCGCCGGTTCGCTCTCCGGCTGCTCCCCGGCCACCCGAGGAGGGTCCCACATGGCGCGCAGACCTCTCCTGCTGCCTGCTGCTCCCCTCAGCAGTGTACTTCGGTCCTTCTGCCTGCTCTGCTCCCCGCTCTGGCTCTGGTGAATTCTCTCACCCTCCCGCGCTTCTGACTGTACCCAGTGCTTGTATAAATAAATAAATAAAAATAAATCTTAAAAAAAAAAAAAGTAGTTAAAAAAAAAAAGAAGTCAGAAATGGGATGTGGAAGTTAGTGTTTTTATTTTTTAAGATTTTATTTATGTAGAAGAACTGGGTTGTATGCCAGAGGTGTGGGGAGTGAGAGGATTCACCAGAGACGGAGTGGGGAGCAGAACAGGCAGATCTACTGAAACACATTGCTGAGGGGAGCAGTGGGTGAGACAGGAGAGGTCTCCTGCACCGTGTTGGTTA